GGGTTTTAGGGGTTAGGGTTTAGGAATTACTCGTGTTTGAGGTATTACCCAAAAAAGCCTACACTCGGAGCCATAAAGAAATCTGGATCAGAAAGCCCTAAGCCAAACGACCATCTACTACTATTCAGGATCCTACATCACTAAGCCCTGATAAACCCTCTATTACTTTATAGGACCCTTCGATCACTAAATCCTAACACACCCTCTATTACTTAATACGGCCCTTGATCACTAGACCCTATTCCATTTGGGACCCTTGATTCTCAGGTCCCGGAGGCATGCTGATCGTCATCGCAAGGACGCAAGTTGTGGCGAGCATCCTGAAAAGAAGCTGGCTGTTGCGGGTCGGATTGAAGGCGGGGATATCGGGTTTAGGGTTTAGGCTTAGGGTATGAGCTGGGGGGTTGATGGTTTAGGGGCCTCGCTTGTGCATCACTGAAGGCTGTCGGACATTGCAGCACTATGACTATGGCACAGAGCTGGGGCTGTGGAGCCGCGAGGTTCCAGGGTGCCCTGTTTTAATTGGGGGCCATCGTGGCCCTAAACACTTTAAGCGGGCGGTTGAGGGGAGGGGGGAGGAAGCAAAATCGACTCAGTCAAAGTATTTCTTTGCAAGGAAACAGCATTGAGTGGTGGTACGAAACCGAAATTCGCAACATTCCTGCTTGGCGTAAGTCAACAAAGAAGAATAAAGTTAAATAGGGATCTGAGACAGCCACTGCAATGACGACTACCAATATCAGAGTCATTGTTGTTTCTCCACTCCTTCCTAGCCGTGGTGGGGTCGTAGCAGTAACAAACATCAGGCGAGAGACAAGTCCGAACTTCTGGAGCCTGGCCGCACTCTAAACTCTAGACGCTAGTCCACAACGACTACAGAGGCCCTGAACACAATCAGAGGAAGTTCGTCTCGGCAAGTATCATGCTTGCTTTCGCGGTGGCTGCCGAGTTCATAAGGTAGTAGCACGCTACCTCAGTTCGCTCTTGAGTTACAGTACCAGCTGCGATCATCTGCGATGTTTTGCAGACGAACCTTCTCATCTAAACTCTAAGTTGGGATATGCGCAGCTCCCTAAGCGTGGGCCACCAAAACACAACGTCAGACACTAAAGGGAACCCTATAACCTAAAGCGCTCGGTCACACCAGCGCAAACTTAGTCACGATGTGGCACAGATGGGGGTCTCAGCCGTTAGCACTTTCCAGTTCGTATCTACGGCACAAAGGACACTCTTTCGCAGACTCTGGCCATTTTGTGGCCCGGGGTACGTACTGCATACAACTCTGAATGAACCCTCATTTGACTAGAACTCTCTGAGTTGGGAAAATTTAGCGTATCTGTTTGAAGTTGGTTTGCTGCTGCAAACACTCAATGCAGGGTCTTAATTTCGAATGAACCTGTCGTGTCTCTCTGAACAGGCATTATCACGAAGTTTATCAATCGGATTAAGGAGACTGCATATAGTTCGTGGGACAACGGCTTGCGAGGTTCTACTATGCCTGCATGGCTCGTACACTCAACTTGAATTCGCAGACTTTCGTACGACTGCCATGTAGTTCTAGAAGGTGTTAACCTGGTTCTAAACGGGTCTCAGAAAGGCAAGATAGTTAGTACAACCCTGGTTTGGGGTTGCAGTGATAGCACTGCTTCAGAAACCAATGGTGTTCAGGAATCAAGCCCCTAAACCCCAAACCCGAAACCCTAAACCCTTAACCCTAAACCCCAACCTAAACCCTAAAAGCTCTCTTGGCATACTCTGAGATGTCTCCATGCTGGCAGTCCACGCCTTGGAAACGCCAGCGAGTCCAGCAGAAATAGGTCGTGGTTGGAAGTGTATAGGATGATAGATGTTATAATGTTATATATACACATACATATACATACAGTGCAATCACTGTACAGGAAATGTTTAATACAAAAATGTAGGGGCTACGCCAGTGGATAGCACCAAAAAGCCGAACATCTAAATTGCTTTCTAGCTAAGAAATAAAGGGTGCCCAACGTTTTGGTAGCTTTTCCTATTTGGCTGAGTGGTTCGTTTCTTATTTTCGTGGTTTCCAGGCCCTAAGCCCAGGGCACAAGGCAGAGGCCAAAATATGAAATGTAGGGGGCTACGTGTCTTAATTTCGTGGTTTCCAAGCCCAAATATAGAAGCCTAGGGCACAGGGCAGAAGCCAAAATGAGAGATTTAGGGGTCTAGGTTTCTTCTTTTCGTGGGTTTCCACTAAACCCTAAACCCTAAACCCTAAACCCTAAACCCTAAACTAGATCCAGGCCTGTGGGCCTGGAGGTGTCTGTCTAGCCTAATGGCAATAAGCCTATGGCTCAGCACCTAGACTTCCATGGGCTCAAGCCCCAGCTAAGAAATGAGCAAGAAATGGAGGGTAATTACCTGGCGATTCGGGAGCTAGGACATGTGGAGATGTGAAACTAAAACGAAATTAAGAAATGAAGGGTACCTAACGCCTAACGCTGGGAGTTGGCATTTCTTATCCAGCAGACGCACCGTAAATCGTAGATTATATATCGAAATATCGAAAATTCTGATAATCTTACTGATTTTAATATATGTACATAAATATCAAAAACTAAGGTAAGCTGTTCTTACAATATAGAAAAAGGCATGCACATGCAATACATATATATATATATGTATATATATATATACAGATTAGCATGCGGCACAGTAAAACGGCATGGTGGATTTCAAGCGAAGTTGCCAAACAAACCATGCCGATCAGAATCGACACGACCCAACCTGGTGTGCCTGAGCAGTGGTTCTGTTCGCTGCAACTCGGTGATGCTTTGCACACCCAAGGCTCCTCAAGACTAAACTGATATAGGGGCCGTAATGATTAGGATAGGGTTTGGGGGTATCTAATATTATAGTTAGTTATAATAAGGAACTCCCAAAACACTATTCTAATTCTTGAGGCCCCTACATTACACATGCAAATCCTAAGGCATCATGTCGCTATAGTCTAGGCCTGGAAGCTCCTCCACCGGCACTGCACTGCAGGCATCCCACTACCGTCCCGTGAGCTCTCTCCTAAGCTAGGTGCTGCCATCCTCCCTAACCCTACATCTTCTCTGAAACTAAACCCAGTTTAGGGCTGAGGGGTTAGAGCGCCTTTCCGACAGTCATAAGTTAGGCGTTTATATGTTCATTTATGTGTTTATGTATGTACGTATTTATTTACTCATTTTTGCTTCTTCTTCGGAATTCGCTAGCCCTCTGAAAAGCTTATGAACCTGAACTCGACCCGCAGAAAGACCGTGGCGGCCTACATGTTCCATTCAGAAGAAGGCCCGCTTCGGCGAAAGGTCCGCGGCGAAAGACAGCCCATGAGGCGAGTTCAGGATATTTTGGATGCCAAACAGCAGGCCGAGGCCGACACTCAACTACCACAGCCCGGCTTTTGAAGGGTTTAGGGTTTAGGGTTTAGGGTTTAGGGTTTAGGGTTTAGGGTTTGGGGTTTAGGGTTTAGTAACCTTTAAGCATTCATGGCCAATGATCGAGATGCTCTGAAATCTTTAGCTCTAACTAAACAATGAACCCAACATCTTTAAGCCGAGTGGCTGAGACTCGCGCAGGCGGAGCACACACCGTTTTCCAGAGACAAGCCATCCGGGCACTGAGTGCAGGGGACCTTTGCAGGAGATCAAGATTTGAGGGGGTTATTTCAGGCTGTATGAAGGTTCTCTATGTGAGTCTTACCAGGGGTTTATAAGGGTTACTTCGGTATTTTGGGGTTCTTTGAGGTTCTACTAGAGTTCTACAAGATTCTTGAAAAGGGAAAAGGTTCTACTAAAGCTTCGGCGGCGATCAGGGACAGGGATTCGGGGATCTGGTGTTTAGAGAGATTGGGCCGTAACACTGGTCGGTATGGAGTGATAGCCGACAGGATTGAACTGTCTCGCGCAAAAAAAGCTCCCATTCACAGTTCACAAAAGGCTGAATCGGAGTTCCAGGTTCGGAGTCGAAGTATCTCCGTGCCACGCGCGGCAGAGGGCCGGAGTCCGGATCTTTAAGTAATATCGGGGCCTTAATGGTTTGAACATGGCTTTGAGGCCACTCTATACTCTTTCCAGCATTCGCCGGGATTCGAATTATAGAAAATCTGAAACCACAGATCCTCAACTTCCTTCTTCCATCCACGCCACGCCCACGCGCCCGCCGTTGCAAGCGCCTGTTCATTCCGGGAAGGTCATATGGGTAGTTCTCTAAAGTAGGATCCCTTTTCGCTCAGAATAAGTACGGTATCCCTATGAAGAGGACCCTAAAAGGGACCCTAATTTAGAGAACTGTAACCCTAAACCCTAAACCGTAAACCCTAAACCCTATACTCAGATGACCCTAAAAGGGGCCCTAATTTCGACAAAAAACCCTGTGGCTGCTGGGCTTTACGGAGCTTCCGGCCGAGCTCGGCCTGTAGCACGCAGGGTTTTGGCAGTAGGTCCGCCAAAGGACTTCACACTTAGGTTTAGGGTTTAGGGTTTAGGGTTTAGGGTTCAGGGTTAGGGGTTTTGGGGATTTGGGTTTTTGGGGTTTAGGGTTCAGGGCTTTTGGGGGTTCAGGGGCTTAGGGTTAGGGGCTTACTTGGAGGATCATGGGACTTAGTAAGTAAGGTTACAACTACCTTAATTGGGGTTATAAGTACTTGTAAGCAAGGACACTACAGAATGTAGAAAAGCTCCTCTGAACCCCTCGAATCCTTATAATATTCCCAACCTCAGAAACGAAACCTCAAACCCAAACCTTAACCGCAACTAATCCCTGAATCCTGCACCCGACACCTCGAAATCCGATGAACTAAACTAACTAAACCTTAAACCCCAAACCCTAAACCCTAAGGTAATGGGATTA